TACACACACACATATATATATATCATGTACACACACATCAGAATGTTCCTGTCTGCTACATGATGGACACTCTGATACTGAACCGTATGAACTGCTATGTTCTACGTCTTAACTAACCCTTCCTTTCCCCTCTCGATCTCCGAGGATCCAAGACCAAGCCATGCCGACCCAGCTCGAGGAGTTGAACGTGCGCCTCGAGGTGTTTCAAGGCTCTACATCAAGCCAGCATTTAAGGGATTGAGGACTTTCCGGTTCTAGGGCTTCTCCGCTTGCTGTAGTTTGTGGTTTGAGCTCTTCAAGGTACATTTTCCTATCTTTCGTACACTCTGAACAGGAAACCAGTCGCCCCCGTGGATTGGCGCGCAGGGTCCTCAATTGAGATTTTCGGGTGTAGATTGCCTTGCAGGTAAACCTGGAGATTCATAGCGAAGCGGCTGCATGTAATGCCTGTATGCTCGCAAGATGTTTGGGCGATGGGACCTTGGGAAGGCAGTGTTTCACTGCAAATGCAGTGAAAACGAGAACCTCACCTTAAACACTTGTTGACGAATTATCTACGAACTGTCAGGATGCAGTCTTGCGGACGCCTGGGGTTATGACATCGGTTGTCCGGTGCGGTCGGAGAAGTCATCCGGAACGTACTTAGGCTTTGGCCTCTTTGGGGCCCGCAGTTCGCATTCTTGCCAGAGAACTTTTGGATTTCAGAGCTGCGGACATTAAAGTGCGGGTTTCATCCTCTGCTAGTAGCTGCTAGTGCTGGATTGGACCGAGCAATGGGCGTTTGTTCTTTGGGATTTGGGTACACATACTACATATTACATATTATATATTACATATTGTATATTAGAAATATAATATTATATATATATATATAACACTGTGCTCAGGACATGCCTGGCAAAGAGCGGCTCTTCCCTGGTGCTTGCGGCGCTGTCTCGGAGTGCAGCTCTTCTTTGCAAACTAACCACCGCCCTGAGTTCGCGCCCCAAGACACCATGCCCTGCACCGTGCTATAAAATTTCGCCCTATTGAAGCATGAAACGCTCCATGCGACTTGGCTCAGCCCTGAAACCCCAGCCCTAAAGCACTGAACCCTGATCCTTAAACTCTCTGCAAATCTTTTCTGACACCATGGAATTGAGCCACATTTGATGTCTCCAGAACCGTGGTCAGCTCCAGGCAGAATGTGGCAGCTGTCAGGATTACGTATGCCTGCGCTTCAAGCTATTGGGGTTCCACGATCCGTTGCATTGTGTGGTGTAAGATCATCGGCTCTGAATACAGTGAGCCAGAATTTCCTTGCAGCTATGCATCTCATAACCTGAGAAGATGGTGAGGATGATGGTAACTGTGTTGTTGCGACGAACGTCGTCATCAGGGATACTCTTGCTTGATGAGTGCTACTGCTGTCACAATACAGTCGTGTGTACTTTTGCAATTGCTGGTGATACATACAACTGATTTAGTGCTAATTTTGCGGCTGTCGCAGTTGTTGTAAACTGTGACTCAAGTTTTGCATTTGACCGAGTGGGGACAACCTAACATGTGGCTTGATCTAGGTGAATTCAACGGCAACATGCCTTTTTCGGATGTTGTAAAGAGTTCGTCAAGATAAGTCTGACACACTCATGCTCCGCACGCTCTGTCTGTGCCGAAATCCTTCATCCAACCGCTTGCATCCCGAACCCAAACGCATGAACAACGAGCCTTACCCTTTGTAATTATCACAGAATTAAGGGCTCCCGAGTTTGTGGGACAAAAGCCAAGCGGCGCGGTAAAGGAATTCGAACACTTCCAATTGTGGACGATCGTCCTGCGGCGTAGGATTCGGACTGTAGGATTGAGGCTTCACCAGAAGAACCAACAGTACACTCCGTTGAGGTCTTCAACTCCGTGTTAACAATCGGAAGCCATGATGTTGAAATTGAGCTTGGGCTCCGCCAGAAATTGCGTCCTACCACCCTTGCAACCACAAAGGAACACCATCCTCTCCGTGCCCTTGCTTGATTGCTAGGATCTGAACTTCCCGATCTGGGGTCTTCGGGTCGAAGGGGTGTCGAGACTCGACCAGCCATCCGTACAAGGATAAGGACGATTTCACCTTGCCGTCCTTGCACCAGCCGAACTTCCAGGGTGGCAGAAAAAGCCTCGAAAGAGTGAACGGATTTGGAAGTGCGACACGGAACTGCGAGTGTCTCCCTGTCTACCACACCTTTGATTGCGTCCCTCAGCCCAAGAATCATGAAACACCTCCGCGCTAACCGCTGGAATCATGAAGTCGCCAGAACAACAAACACTCCAACCCCAACTTCTTCTGACCATGTAGCAGTCACACTCATTCTCCTGATAACTTATAACTAGGGCAATCATTGAAGGGAAACTGAAGGCTAAGGAGAAGCGTTTATTTAGCTGCCTGGAAGCATGCCCAATGCTGCGGATCCAATCAATGCCGCTGGCACGCGCATTGTCTCCGAGAAAAAGCGCACGGCATCTTCCTTGCAGTGAAAGGCACGGGGGTTCAGGGGATTGGGGGACGTGGTTACTCACCTCGGGAGCTACCGGTTTGAGGAAGCATGCATCCTGGTTCAGCTACTCCTTGGCAGTTCATGTAGAATCTGGTCCTCAGACTGAGACAGTTGGAGAGATGTAGAGCATAACAGTGTGAACAATGTGCAGCTGATTCCATATTTCTTGTACGTTCGCTGTAAGCCTGTGTGCATTCAAGTTAGGCTAATCGAGCTCTATGCCACACCGAGCAAACTGCCCAGGCAGGTCTAGAACGATCGCGGCAATGGCGACAAGGTGGAGGTGGAGGCTTCTTGTGCAGAGTGGGGGCTGGGCAGTGAAACCGAGGGTTCTTTTCTGCTAACGAGTTGAACGGGGCAGCATACAAATCATTTATTCGCAGAACTTTTCGTATATTATAACTATGTATCGGTGTATGTGCATATGTATGTATGCATGCATGTCATGTATGCATGTATGTCTATGTGTGTGTGTGCATATGTACGTATGCATGTATGTA